CAAAGAAACTGAATAAGATTGGAATAAACTGGAACTAACCCCATTACAAACCAAAATAACTCGGCAATTTAAACGAAAGCCTAAAATGTGTTAAGGCAGTCGGCGTGCGTGGGGGATTGTTGTAAGGTGGCTTGCCTTTATATCCTTTTTAGTTAGAATAAATTCTTCAACATTTTTTAAGTTAACATTATGAATTGCTTAATAAATCCTTTTGCTTTTGACAGTGCGGCAAGGGTAACAGAACATTAAAAACAAGGAAACGAAACCAGAATACAATTTTGAATGGCAAAGGATTTTGGCCTCTAAAGCGATTTTACATGTTATTGCCTTACGCTCTACGCCGTACGCCGTACGCCTTACGCCTTGCTTTTGTATTTACTTATATAATATTAAGTAATTACATTAGTGCGGCCATAAATTAACTGATAATAAATATAAAAAATAATTTCAGCTGCCTTTGCACATTATTTTAATGTAGGTTGAGTGGCAGAAAAGTAACTCACTGCTTGATAGCCCATTAATATTTACATTAAAGCATAAACAAATATTTATGTAGATATATTTATATGTAAATAACTTTTTAGTTTCATCTATATAAGCTGAGAATTATGTAAATAGAAATAGTACAAAGACGAAAGTTAAGCAAATTCAAACAATTTCTATTTGGATTTCGTTATATATTGTACTTGATATGCTGACGGTTTTTAAAACGAAAGTATGAAATATCACAAGATATATCACAATATTGTGGGGAACAATAGAGCTGCGCTATCAATGTACTTTTTTTGAGTTAACAATTACACCTAAACGAATGAACGAATGAAAGACAGCGTTTCGAGTGAAGGTCAATATATCCCTCATAAATAAGTTCCCAATAACAGACGAGAATATATATCTCTTTCTCTTTTATTAAAGCCAACTGCAAAGAGAACCTCACGAAAAATGTTATTAAAACTCTCATCAACTTCCAAACAGAAATAACATTTTGTAGCTTCAAATGCACCCCATATAGTTCAGATTGTAGTATGCGTTAAGAATGAATCGACAAGTCATTCGGAAGCCACGATCATTCAACAGGTCTGGCTATGTTATTGCCACAAACATACTACATTCGTTAAAATTGTAGAGCCAGGTAAAATAACGTCATTTGTCAGCTAAAGTCATTTTGTTGACTCAAACAGACGTAAGAGAGCTAAGATTAGTTGAGAGGTCATTTGACAGCTCAGGCTATTTTATTGGCTCAAATAACTCTATCGTGCTAAGATTGTAGTGCGAGCTAAGGTGGCTAGAAGAGTTATTTCTGAAATAGGATTATTTGTTAGGTTAGATTATTTTATCACCTCAAACAGGCTAAATATGGTAAGAATGTAGTGCGTGTTAAGATGTCCCATAAAGTCATCTATTAGATCAAGTTATATTGTTGATTCTAACAGTTCTATATGTTGTTAAGTTTGTTAAGTCGATTACCATATTTCTATCTCACTACATAGAGTCCTCTGATTTTAAGTAAAAGGCCTAAGCTTCAATACTAAATCAAATATATAACTTTACTGATACTAAAAAATAATTTAATCCAAATGTTTAATAACAAGGTTTATATTGAAATAAGAAATTCATCGAAATCTTAATCAAAATTATCATTTCATAAATGTTTATTTATACGTCCATAAAATGGATTACCCTGTATAAAATCATATTCAACTCAATTATAGAAAGGACACACATATAATTATGATTTCTTAGTTTCACTTCCGTTAGTTGAGATGTGAAAATCGCTTCACAGTAAATGTTGCCTTTTACAAACTATATCAGTTAACATTTCACATAACAACATTTTCGTATGTAACTTATCTGAAAAAAAAAGAATGTACTTCTCTCAAAAAATTATGTTCTTAAATACATTGACTCATAAAAGGAACAAACATAAAAAAAAAATCACACAAAAAACATTACTCTGTGCAAGTACAAAAACTTTATTAATAAAAACGTAGAGAGAAATATATTTTTTAGGAAATTTATCCAAAAACTTTATGCCTTTCATCATTTTACGCTTTGGTCTTGGTTCTGGTCTTGGTGAGAGTCAGTCGACAAACAAATAAATGCACCAAAGCACAGGCAGACAAAAACAGATTCGGATCCAAAGATAAAGTTGAGAACTAATACGGCAAGCAGACACGGGCCAAACAAACATTTACACAATCAAATAAATAAACAGTCAAAAACACAGACAGAATGACATACGGACAGACAGACAGTTAAATAGACAGACAGACAGACTGACAGTCAGACATAAGGAAGACACAAGGACATACAAGTGGTCGAATGTAGCAGTTTGTCTGTGTTTAAATCTTTTTCTCTGCTGTTGCTCATATCCTTAAGCGCTGTACTTTTATCGAAGTTGTAAATATAAAAAAAAAAAAAAACAAAAATAAAAATAAAACAAAACCAGGAACAGAAAAGTAGGAAGTATAAAAATGTGTATAATGAATGGCAAAATACTTTTAATTTAATATAAAAAATATTTATGGTGGCATTTTTTATTTAATTTTTTATTTTTTGCTTACTATTTACTTTGTAGTTGAACGCTTTTCTTTGTGCGGGAATTTTTTTGTAAATAAATAATTTCACACACAAAGTCGTCCTATGAAAACATGTAATTTGAACGTATAAAGCAGGATACAAACGCCACGCCGGTTGCCTTTGGTACACTGGTTAACAAGAACCTATATGAATCATATGTGATTTTTAATTTAAGAAAATCATTATGAAGTAGTTTATTTATGGAGGACAAGTGTCTTTGATTCAACATGAATAGAATAATGAATGTATATGTTAGACTAGGTATTGTGATATATATCTTTTGTATAGTATATTAAGATCTATGTTATATAAATTAATATTGCAGTATTAATGTAATTTAATAATGAATTATTATTATATTATATATTAATATAATTTTTTTAATAAAATCCATAAATAAGTTTTTTGCGTTTATTATTTTATTATAATAATTTAGTTTTTTTATAAAGTTGTTGAGTTTATCAAATTTAATGTTTTACCAACCCGCATTAAAATTTAGTGATTAGCATAAGTATTTAGTTATTTTATTTAGCTTTATACTTATTTAGCTTTATCTGCCACTAACTACTTTTTAACACTATATCATTAAATCTATATCCTTAGTGTTATGTGGTTTATTTTTCTTATGTTATATACAATGCTGCATAGAAGTTAAAGCCCATCTGATTATTTTTCAATAATTAAATAAATCTAAACACATTAATTCATATATATTTGAGAAATTTTAATTATTTGTAAAATATTATATATATATATTTGCAATAATTTCCGCGCAATTTTTATATATATTTTTTGTTATGCTATATTTAGTGTAAATAATTCATATTTACTTTATATACTCGTACTATTTAAAATATTTGTAATTTTGTTCAAAATTTTTTTATGTTTACTGTAAATACTTCACAAAAAAATTATATTTTAAAGAGTATATATATTTAAAATATATATTTTTGTAATTTTGTCTTAAATTTTTTTATTAAAAAATTTTTACAATTTTTTTTTTACAATTAATTTTTACAATTAAGTTATTATATTACATTTTACTTATATTTTTCTAATTTTTTAATTTTAAAATATTTTTTCATATTTTTGTTGCAATATTATTATTATGTTGAGGGAAGTTGAGTCAGTGCACCTGAGCACTTTTACTCTATATTAACTGCGAGGTTTCTTCAAAACCCCTCTTTGCGCCTTGACTGGATTATTATTTATCACATCTTCAGACTAAGTAATAATTGACCTCAGATCTGCATACCTCCCCGAGGAGTCTGTAACCATTCTGAGATTTGATAATGCGGTGTTAGTAAGTCTGTCAGATTTCGCAAATAATTTCAAGGCTCTATCCTTTATGTATTTTTTGATGGGATCAATCTTGAGGTCCCTAAGGATGTCATTCGTCCTAATATACCAAGGAACTTTGAAAAGTCTTCTCAGAGCCTGGCTTTGTGCAATTTCTAATTGGTGAATAGTAATGTTTGAAGCTTTGCTAAACGCTACACAACCATATAGAAGTGACGGACAAATTATTTGGTTATATATCAGTTTCCTGTTCTTAGCATTGAGGTTTTCTTTTCTAAATAGCGGTTGGAGGTAATGAAGAATTTTGGCACAGCTAATTCTTTTCAGTTGAACATGTGAATCGTTTGTCCAACGTGATGCCGAGATAGTTAACGCTATCCTCCCAGTTTATCACCATATCACCCACTCTCACTCTCGACGGTGTTGCAATATTTTCTATTAGTTTATATTTTTCTTTATTACATATTTTATTTTTCTTCTTAACATATATTTCTTTCGTGACAATGGTATATTAATACATATATTTCATTATATTTTTAATATATAACAATCAATTTCATTAATCATCCATTTTATTAATAAATGCTTATAAATATAATTATAATTTATATTAGCTAAAAAAATATTTTTGAAAATTATTTATTATATTTGATGAAGTTTTAAAGCAAAACAAACTTTTTTCCAAATTTAAAGAATTTTTTTATATATTCCCAGCGTCATCAAATACAATAGATAATACTCCTACTTAATTATGCATTATAAATAAAAAATGAAAATTTCGGATTTCAACATTAATAAATTTATTTATTGAACAGACAGCAACAATACTTCCCAAATACACACTTAATTGCTTATTAGTTCTCGCAATCTCCTTTGCTGAGTTCATTAAAAACGTCACTCATACGCAATGTAGTACGGAACACACACACACATTGCAGCTTCTATATACAGCGTAGCATTTAATTTCGTTTATTCGTTTATTATAATTTTTGCACAATTTTTCGTTTTTATAATTATAACAAAAATATAAAATAAATATCTATATATATATATATGGATGCATATATGATTTTAAATATATTTTAAATTTTATGAAATTTTTATTTTCTTTTGCTTTTCAGAGCGCAATAGTTGGTGAAATGAGTACAGAATTGTGAGAATTAGCCCAATTTAATATGCAATAACAACAATTGCCAACTTTATACTCGTGCATACCCGCAACAGCATCAACAATTGAAACAAGTTCATTCAATACCGCAAAAACATCATCATTAGCAGGAACTGGAGTTGGAACTACTGAAGTGGGAGCAACCGCAGCACTTGCAAGCACATCAGTACCGCCGCCAAGTGCATTTTGCAAATTATGGTTGCAACAACAAATGCAACAGCTCCAACATCATCACCACCAACAGCAACAACCACATCAACAACCATGGTAGTAAGTTTTGTTTAAATAACATACAATTTTAATGCTGTCGGAAGGTGCTTACTTGTATGCTACCGCTTAATAAGGATAAATGTTACGTATTATAAAAATAGTGTAAAATCGCATTGGTAGATGAAAAATAGTAGATGAAAACTTCAAAATTTGGTAATCTAATAAATAAACTCTCGTTGTGAAATTTTCTATACAATGAAGTAGCAGTAGTTGAAGTTGCCATATACCGAGTGCCCGAGTATGAAGAGATTATAAATAAAGAGTTTTGTGTTAAGTTGTTGCATATTAAAAGTTTTTATAAACAAAAAGAAAAATTGTACTTTAGGTAAAGAAACAAAAACAAAAACACAACATATAAAAAATATTAATACACATAAAAATAGTTGAGTTTTTAAAAAAGATAGAATAGAGTTACAAAGTTTTGATGTGATTTTTTTCTATTAAAAAACGATTAAATGAAAATGTTGCTGTGTTTTTAAAAAACTTAGACTTTATAAACTAGCAAGACTAACTACATTTTAGCTTGTCAAGTTCGGATTAAATGTTTAACACAGTTGCACGTAGGTTTTAGTTCATTGTCTAATACATAGTTGCTATCATAATAGTTACTCTACAAAAAACACATACTTGATCCTTAAATAAAAATAATAAATTTACCTATAGATAGAACAAAGTTGTTGTGATATTAAAGTTTGTTTATTTAAGTAGTTAAATTCTACAATATATTACGAAATATATAATACAATTGCAAAAAGATGTTTGACTTTAGGTTTTCTTTTATAAGCAGTCAATTAATTATGTAAATACACAAATTTAAAGTTTTAAACTATCAATGAAAGCACTCTCTAAACTTATTTTTACATCATAATCAAAATCTTAACAGCTAATTAACTAAAATCTTATTTTTCTTTTCATTTTGTCTATTTAACTGATTTTCTTAACACAACTTTAATAAATTAATGAGAGGAAAAATCAAAAAGTGATCAAAAATCAAAATAACAAGCATTATCCTGTTTAATATGCGTTAATGATAAGTAAATTTTTATGCATATTCATTCACAAAATTCACATACACAAACACACACATATACACATACATACATCTATTCATATGCAGACGGAAGTAAGAAATTTCTTTTATTCCTTGTTTGTATGCATGTGAGACTGCCGTTGATATGTATAATATGGTCGCCTGAAAGCAGGCAACATTATTTTTACTGCATTTAATGAGCGATATACGCAATTTTGAGACGACATAAGGAAATCGTTAGCGATAAAAATAAAATTTTATTATACATTTTTATGAGACAATGAAGAAATATTGTGGGTGACGTAAACAATGAAACACAGTAGGGAATATTGTAAAACATATAATTTATATATTAAAAAATGAGTCAAAGTGAATTAAAAACAAGAATAGAAATTTCTTCTTAAGAATAAAAAACTTGAAAGGTGCAGCCAAATGAAAGTAAAATTTTTAGTCAATATATGACATAAAAAACAGAAGTGATCAGAATTTTAATGTAAACTTTGATGTTAAGGTATATATTATATACACAATATATATGTATATATACAAAACACAGCAACAGTTGACTTTAAAAATTCAAAAAAGTGAAAACGATTTACATATATAATCTATTAGAAACGGTTCTCTATAGTTTTAGTGTTAGCAATATTAAATTATATTATACATTTAAGATTATATTGATTTTACATATATACAATACATGTATAAAATATTAAGCACTAATATTAAATTTACATATGTTTTATGTATTCTTACCTTTAAGGAGGCTAATCAAATTTGAATTGTAATGATATTATTTTTATGGTAATTTATTCAATATTTCAAAGCCAAATTTGTATTTAATTTACCAATAATAATCAGTTCATAAACGTCCATTTTGAAAAAATGTACTTTATACGTTTTAATGATATTGTGAAATATACAATTTTATAATAATTTTGTTGTAAGATATATAATGTGAAAATATTTAATATTTGCTTACTATGCTTACATTAAGAAATTAAACCATTTATGTAAATGAAAATAATTTGAATTTAAATATTAATATAATTTGATAAATACGCTTGAAAATAATAATTTAAGTAACCGAAATTATTTAATTAATTTTTCTATAATATCTTTTTTAAGGACAGCAGTTTTTTGAAAAAAACTTACTAAAATAGAGCATATGATATAAATTGTATTATAATTAATATTATTTTAATTTAAATTTAAATAATGTCAATATTTGCTTAACACTGCCATTTTATAAAACATTTTTTCTTAGAAGAGCTAACTGGGGCTAAACAAAAATTTTTCAAAAAAACATTCGAGTATATTAAAAACACTGTGAAAATATTTTTGAATACGGAAGTCATTTTCGAACTGCCCACATATATGAAAAAGAATTTATATTAAAAAAATACTCCTATATTTCTTATTTCAAATATTTACATGTGAATACAACGTATAAAAATGAAAATTATTAATAAATAAATTTTAAGAACTATATAAGTAAAAGGAAAACTATTTAACAAAGCCAAACGATTTTAATTAGCAGCATATTTAGTCTTTACTAATCGAACAAAATAATCAAAAACAAAAAAAAAACAAAACTATTTAATTAATAATCCCAAAATATTATAATACGAATATAAAACTTCAAATTTCCAAAAAAAAAAATCTTAATTTAAAAATCATCTATAAAATTAGTTATAAAAAATGTTTTATTAATATTTAAATACATAAAAATAAATTTTTCGTATTTTACGATTTTACCTATTTAAGATATAATATATATAACATTTAAAAAAAAATTAATTATTATACATAAAATAATTAAATGAAGTTAATATTTAAATTTCGATGTATATTTAATTTTTCAAAAAGATTTACTTAATAAGATGTAACTTTTCTTATTATCTAATGACTTGAGAATAAACGTTTTTTATACAAAATAATTGCAGAAATATTGTTTTTTATTATTATATATAACATATAATATACTGTCTATTTAAAGAAATTCAAATATTTAATTGCTGTGTGGGTAAATTTTACTAGTGAAATTTAAAATTTATATAATGAAGTAACTGGATTTTAATCATTAAATATAATATAAACATATATGCACAGATAAATATTTGTCTATGGTTCTATTGTATCTAACGCTTGAAGTTATTGTTGTTGTTGTTGTTTTGTAACTCACCATATAAACAACAAATATCAAACGAACACTTACCTGCTTGTGTGACCCTTTTGGTGGATGTTGAACGGCATTTAGCAGTCTTCGACGAGTGGTTCCGGGATGCAGACCCGGCCGTTCTTGGAACCAACACTTAAAGTCATGCAACTGAGTTTACAGACCTCTACTACTACAGTTCATTGTGGTGTAACTAAAATCTATTGCAAATCCATTACTAAATGCAAAAGCAGGTGGTCGCCCTATATAACGATTTAGAGAAATGTTGAAAGAAACAAATGAGCGATTTATTCATCACACGAACAAATACAGAAAATAATATGTAGGTGAAGGCATAAGACCCTGTTAGGAAAAAAATGCAACTATCATTAAATGAGAATAGAGCAATTCGTCCGATCACTACTATGGCTAATAATAAGATATATTCACAATACAAAACAACGTATTTGAAATCTCAGTTATATGTGTGCTTTAATAACCTTTACTTTAGGAACCACAAAATATATAATCTGACATACGAAAACTAGATTTTTTTTTGGTTAATATGCAAAATGATCCTTATTTTGTTATATTGCTTTCAAAATGAAGACCTATGATTGTTTAGTTAAAGAATTTTTTAAAATATAATGAAAATTCTATTTAACAAATATCTCTCTGAATCCAGTTGGTACTCACCCCCTTTTTTTTTCATATAAAAAATTTTGTTTTAAAAGGAAAATTCCCTTAACCAGACAGAATTACTGATTCCGTTGGTGTTCGCTTAAAAAGTCTATTCTACAGAACAACAAAATGTATCTTAAATGTGTCAAAAATCTCTTAGCTAAAAAGTCTAGTTTTGAAAATAATTTAAAGTTCTGCGTATTTTCAAGAAATCCATATACTTCCAGTTCATGAAATGCAGTATTATTGTTATATATTCTGTATTTCATATATACTCCACATCTTTCAAACTAAAAAGGACATCCCATATAAATAAACGTGTGAAAAACTTAATATAACTATTTTCACTTAAAAAAAGAAGTAAATAAATAAAAACGTAAATAACATTCATGTGGAATATTTCTCATAACTTCACGACGAAACACTAAAAAAAAATATGAAGGAGAAATATTTATGAAAAACAATCATGGAATGAACAATAAAACTAATACGAAAAACGGAAGAAATGTACTGTTTATGAGAAAAATCAAGTTTGCATATCCAATCGAACAGAAGAATAAGAAGAAGAAGATGAAGAAAACTAAAGCCGAAAATAACAATGAAGACAAGTGCGAGTGAGATTCCAAACAGAATAACAACGACAGGAAAATGTGCCCCAAGAGAGAATTTCATTCTTCTTATTTCTGATTTAGTAAATTTCTTAAAAACTTCAACAGCTACAACAATACGTAGAGATAGGAATACAAAAGGATGACAAGGACATTGTTGCGAATTGCAAGAAAGAATTAAATATACAAAGTCAGAAAGTTATGTTGTTAAAATATGTGAAAGATAAGCCGCGATGAGGGCGGTTGGGATGGATGACATTAAAAAAATTGTTGAATTCTTAAGCCAAAACAACATTTGACCTCAAACTAAAATTCCCAAAAGCACAACAATAACAACACCTAAACTGACACAAACACAACAGACAATGGTTCGAACAACATTGTCAACAAATACTTCTAGATTACAATTATTGCAGAGCACACAACATTGGAAGAGGGCAAATCTGTTATAAATTTTGAAGAAACAAAAGTGTCAGAAACAGTGTGAGCATAAAATTTGAACCCTTTACAATGCTTCATCTCCTTCTTTTTCTTCAGAGATAAGAAAGAATTCATTTGTGTTTAGAGAACGACAAAAAATGGTTCAAGATTAACGAAAACTCTAAGTCAAAAAGTTTTATTCTCGTTGTCCTAGTATATGTAATACCTAATGAGTGAGGATATTTAAGATTTACGGCGACGGCAGGCAGTGACAGTGACTTTGATGGTGAGCATGTTTGAAAGAATTTCATAACTAAATTGAGAATTTGACATGATAATTGTTACAACTGTAATAGTTCTGTTTTGGTAAGTTTGAATTTTCTTTTTGAGGCCCTATACTCCACTGGGAGATAAGGATAAAAAATGAAGAAGAAGTTGGAATTTTAAAATAGAAGTATAGTTAAATTTTCTTCAGACAATGATGTTCCAAAGATCCTTCAGGTCATGAAAAAGGAACTAAAGAAAATATTCTTTTAAATATGAAAAATTGCGAATTACTTTAGCGATCATATACATGTTACAGATATACATATATAATAACAATAAAACTACTAATACACACAATCTTTCGATACTAAAAGGATGTAGAATTTACAATTGAAACAAAACACAACAAAATTTTTTTATTCGGCAGTAGTTTTAATAGTATTATTTAGGGAGAATGATCCCGGGTATATGACGGTGACGAGAGAGTGCTCGACAAATGGCATTATTGATGGAAAAGGATCTCGGATATATGATAGTCAGAAGAGGATGACAAATTGCATTTTGAACACCTATTTTTCTAAGAGTTTTTAATTATCTATGACCATATTATCTTATAAATAGTATGTTGACTGTGAACTTCAAAGCTAGAATTGATGTTGGCTCATCCATATGCAATAATAATTTCAATGACCTCTGCAGAAAGCAGTCCAATAACAACAAATAGCTGACCATAATTTTGTGGTACAGAGTAGCAATCGACCTCTAACTGTTTAAATGCATATTCGTTATAGCCAAGATGCAAATAATGATTATGCAGCTTTAATTCTTGAATCAATGGAATATTATGAGAATTGAAACTAAAACCTTTAAGAGAATTTTGCACAGTGTCGATGGTCGCAGCACAAGTTCTTTTGAAGGATGTTTAATGGATATTAGGCTTTATGATAGCTATAGCTTTATCTGTGCGCACTTTGACGATCCCTAAGCGGTGAAAGAAGAAACGTACTGCAAAATTATGGAATTTTTGTGAAATTATGGAATTATAGAATTGGTTAAACAAAGATTTCTATTATAAATTCAGTATATATATATGTTGTTCAGTTAAAAGTCTTTGCATAGTGATTTACCAAATAATAAATATATTAGCCATAAACTGTATATATTTTAAGTGTTGCTATTTTGAAAAAACATCCCTTGTTAAAAGAAAAAACCCCGCAATTAATTAACGGGAATAGGACCTTCAATTATGACCCCATAATAAACTCTCCCGCTTTTTTAACATATATAAGCCTCAGTTCAATTTTCAATGTTTCTCCGAATTGTCGAGGTGTCAATTGTCGAGGTGTCAATTGTCGAGGTGCTTATATTCATCTTTCACTTCACATATTAATTCTACACAATTTTTAATACCTCATGCCATCTTTTCTCAACATCCTTACAAGGTTGCTCCGACATTTACACTTCTTTTCTCAAGTTCCATTTTCACAGTAATAGGCTTACTCAGCAATACTGGTTAATTTCATATTATTAATATAAAAATATATATTATTTTTCACACCACTTTGGCAACATAACATACCAACAAAGTTGTGCGTAGCGCCACAAAACATTAAAACAAAATATTTTCATGTTGTTATAACCCAACTGAGTTTCCACAACATCCACAGCATGCTTCAAAGTGTTAGTTTTTAATCCTTTCAAATGGGAGCCAACAAAAGCTCCTTTGATTACTTATGTTACCTGTTCACAGCTGTTCTCCATTCTCCATTCGCTATTCGCCATCCACTGTTCTGGTGTCTTCGTACTGTGTTGTCTGTCTCCTGTTGTCTAGCTTACCTAGCTTACGAGTTATTGTTGTTGGCATACATTTCAGCATGGAGCAGTCGAGGAATGCGCTTGACTTTTCTGCTTGTACTTCTAAATGCAATTATGTACGCTGAGTCCTGTGCTGAACTCATGTTGATATGTTGAATGGCAGCGCGTGTCCCTTGCTGAAATTTCATTAATTTCGCAAAATGAAATGAAAAGAAATCCTGCAGATAAACTTAATTGTGCACCTGTCGTTTATTAAAATACAAGAGAAAGGGGAAAAACCAAAAAAAAAAAAAATGTATATATAAATGATTATGAAAGTGGTACGGAGACAATAAAGTCTTGAGTTATAATTTTTTGAGTTAATATTTTTTTTTTTTTTTGAATGTTTTTGAAATTATCTATAAAATCAAATTTAAATTAAAAAGTAGTTTAAAACTGTTAAGTTTTTTTTCTTTAAACATCAATGAATGGACTTCGTGATTCGATTTATTTGAAAATAAGTATTTTTGGTTTTATATTACAGTGTAATTTAATTTTATTTTTAATAATTATAATTAAATAAAATAATTAAATACAAGAATTATTTCCAAGACCACTGATGATGGCACTACTTGAAACAGCTGTAAGGTCAACCAAAAATTCAATTAATTAAAATAATATAAAATGAATTTTTGTTGCTGTAGTTAACTATTGTTCGAAATAGCCTCTTTCTTTAATTTTTAATTCTAACTTAATTATGTTGAAGCTATTTGAGCCAGTGCACTTGACCACTCTTTCTTAACACGAGATATTTTCAAAACCCCTCTTTGCGCCTTGTCTAGATTATTGTTTATCACTTCATCAGACTAAGCAATAATTGACCTCAGATCTGCATACCTCCCCGTGGAGCTTGTAACCATTCTGAGATTTGATAACGCAGTGTTGGTAAGTCATCTATCTATCCTTTATGTAATTTAATTAATTAAGTTCTTTTCCATTTAACTTTTCCGTAGATCATTGTGTTATTAGCAATATATATAAGAAAAGTATGCACAGATCTTCTTAAAAAGAATTTTTTCTTTTATGTTATTCACAATAGTAAGTGAAGAATATAGGTGTCTACATTAAGACTGAAAAGTTTTCGGAAATTCTCATTTAAAATTCGCGCGCTGTATATTTTTCGATATTTTAAGTTTATGTAGTTTGGCAGCACTGTCCTTAATTACTATGCCAAAAATGAGCTCGATCTGTCAGACAGTTCGTTTACGGCAGCTGTTGAAACCAGTTCACCTCAGTAGTGCGTTGCGAAATGTCTTCGACGGTCGTACGACCGTCCTGGAAGGCTTTGTACCACTCATAAACTTGAGTTTTCGATAAAACTGATTCCCCATAAGCCTTTTGTAGCATTCGCAACGATTCTGCACACGAAATTTCGTTCGAAACACAAAATTTGATGCAAACTCTTTGTTCAATATTTTTTTCCATTGTTTTTTTCGCAACGCCCTACTGAGGTGAACTGGTTTCAACAGCTGCCGTAAACGAACTGTCTGACAGATCGCGCTCATTTTTGGCATAGTAATTAAGGACAGTGCTGCCAAACTACATAAACTTAAAATATCGAAAAATATACAGCGCGCGAATTTTAAATGAGAATTTCCGAAAACTTTTCGGTCTTAATGTATATAGATTCTATAGGCTTCGTATTTAAGTTGGCAACACTGCGTCTAATAAGAACAATACTGAAAATATAATAATGATCTATATTCACTAAACATTGTCATCTGAACATAAACTGAAAAACCATTTGGCTGATTTGTATTCACAAAAAGAAGCCATTTCAACATAAAAACAAGTATATAAGTGGGAAGATTGCGTTCTTTTATTTTGACAATAGTAAGTAAAGAGTCTTTTTTCCAAAAGTTTGGTTTTAAAGTTGACAATGCTGGCTAGCATACTGCAAATTGAAAGCTGATTTATCTATATTAAAGATTAGTATATCAATATAAAACTAAGCATGTAAGGATCTATTTCGGGAATCATCTTTCTTTCATAATTATAATAGAAGGAGTAATGGAGTAATTTCATTTCATAATGAATATACTAGATGTCCTAAAAAACAGCCTCAATTATAGAGCAGATCTCTTAACTTCATTCTCTCATACAGTCAGTACTCAATACAAATTATACATAAAAAAAGATATTTTTATAGAAAATACTTTATTTTCAACAAATTAATTATACATTATATAAAAATTATATATTTTTAAACACCAAAATAATTTAAGAACTTCCTTTTATCTTCTTTTTCATTCGATTATATATAACTTCCATTATAAAAATTATAACACTCAAAGTGAAACTTATAGCAAAAAGCACCCACATAAAATATAAATCGTCTACATTTAATCTGCGTACGCTCCTTTTTGTCGAGAGATCCTTGAAACTCATATTTCCAATAGCAGCTAAATCATAAAAGGAACGTCCTAACCAATATTTATCCAAACCTAAATCCTGCACACGTAATATAAACTGTTGAAGCGGCTCTTTAAAAATTGAATCTGGTGCTAAAATATATCCAAGATGCATTAAAGGTTCAAAACAAATCTTCGTTAAACGAAACAGTGGGCGTTCAAAGAGACGTTGTTGTGCGTCAAAGACATACCACTTTGATGTGGTAACTGGATATGCATACTTTGTATTCAATGAATCTCTTACCACACTGTACTCTTCAAATTTATTTACTAACTCAAAACAACTTCTATAGTTTTCCCGTATGTTGGGAAGAAGATTATTGAATTCATCGTTTCCCATTAGTATTTTCAAATTCGAGGTTTTGATATCATCCAATGAACGAATCGGTTTCTTTGCTGATGGTGTCGTCAGAAATGCATTCAATTCAACATTAAAAAACGTTGTAGCAATAAGTCCGACTACAAACAACACAATATATAACAATCGTAGAGATAGCAAAGGGCGTGGATGTAGAAAAAATGAAAAACCCAATATACCAGATAATGCATGCGGATGAAAGAACAGATCCAAGCAATGCAACACAAATGGTTGGTTGGAGTTTACTTTTAGCAATTTGTGACATACAACAAAAAATATAGAAAATACTTCCACAATAATCAACACACCAAGTACTCGTGTCCAATGCAGAAGTTTAAGAAAAAAATCAATATATGTTTCTTCTAGTTCCACGGGCACCATTAAGCAAAAGTTGGCCAATTCAAAAGGATATGTAAATTGATCATATGACTGATTTTTGCCAGGGTTTGATATGCTGGTGGGTAACTCCACTGTGCCATTGCGTGTGAAATTAGTGAAATCACGATAAAATATGGATTTACCCAAAGTGAGGTTGTAGTGAAGTGAATACGTAAGCGTGCCGTTCAATCTATGTGCAAATAATTCAGTCATCTTCGCAACATAGCCGGTCAACAACTTTTCTCCGCTTGCAGTCTGGTAAAGTATAGTACGAGGTGAAATTTGATCTGGCAATGTTACTATTTCATGGCCTTTTAGATTTTGCATGCGTTCCGGAAATATTTTTGTTGCATTTGAGGGAAAATATTTTGTTTCAATGTTGAATTTCGGATATTCACTGTAACTGTAGAACTGTTGGCTTTCAACAAAATGGGGGAATATGGCAATTGCATTAATCATACTATTATTCCGACAAAATTCGAAAGGATATTCAACTAATTTTGAAACATTCGCTACATGCGAATCACCTCCTGTGTAGATAAAAATGATATGTGCTTGACGTAACCGCTCCAGATTTTGAGCTAAATTCTGTGTTTGGTTTAATTTGGACTTTTCATCCCATTCCACAATAATGAGCATATTTCTGTTGTAGATGAGTCCGTTGCTGTATGTTGTGCAGTTGGTATAGTGCAGTACTGGCTTAGAAAACATGTTTTGTATTTCTATTTGCAGATGCTGTTGTAAGTCTATAGGTTCTTCTCTAGAAATGAACATGCATGTTTGAATATCATTTTCCTTTAAAATTTCATTTAAGAAATTCATATACAAATTCGAGAAGTTCCTATGCTCATTATTAAAGATTGAATATATATTTTCTTCCATTCCATCGATGAATAACTCATTCTTCACAAAACCTAACATTAAAAATAAGATATTAACCATTTTTCGAAAAGTACACATCTAATTAGTACACTTGTTTCTGCTGTGCAGTCCGTCAGGTTAGTTATTGTACTGAATAATATTTACTCATCATTTATTTTTATATACTTTTCAATGTCAACACTTATGGAAAACAATTTATTTAACGGAAATCAACTTCACACTGTAATTAGAGTCGATAACATCTTTAAAATTGACACAAATTATTATTAATCAATTTCATCGGGAATTCTAATTCCATCCATATATCCTTTAATTATTTTTTATCATTAGATTTTGTTAAGTAAGCAAATATCTCAAAGGACACATATCAATTTTAAAATTATTTGTTTATTAAAGTGGCATTTAAGGTCATTGAGTAATAGCTCTTCATATAGAAATACATTTTTAATTAATTGCATGTTCATTACATTTTATTTTTATGAAGTGCATATCAAAAATCAACAAGTTAAACGGTGTAAGCATGATAAGTAGCTCAATTAGGTTTAAACATATATTTTCAATGTCCAATTTTTATTATATATATCAACTAACTGACCCGACAAACTGTGTTTCCTCTCACATTTAATTTTCCCGGCTCAACTGAGTCTTAATGTTTGTTGTTATTCCAATATCTGTGTAGATATAGAGATTGTCAGGTATGTTAATGTGAGAAGCAATACGTGTCTACAATTCAATCGGACATGCATAACTTATGTTACAAATATTTTCATGTTATTTCGAATCCTTATAAGCATTACATTTTATATATAATTTTTTTTTTTATTATTAATGATTTTATTATTTTATTATACTGTTATCTTAAAGCTAAATCATGCACAATTTTGTTCGGCCATTTTGAGCATTTATATAGATCACAAGGTTCTCCAACACGGAAATATGCAACATGTCTCACTGCCCAAGCGAAAAACATGGATTTTACACAAAACTAGTCTACATACTTTTTGTGTTTTAGCTTGAGATTTATTAATTGTCATATCAAATACCAAACGAATTGGAAATCGTAATCGTTTGAAACATCACTTGGTATAATTAGTATGCGCGAAAGCAACACATTTACTCCTCTGAACTTTCCTCTTAATATTTTTGATTCAATTAGTTCTCCATAATTCTTTTTATACAGACCATTGACAGTTCTCAAATACTCATACGACGTTTGTCTCCGTATCAATCAGACAAAAACAGTTTTAAAAATAAATACTCGTTATTTTTGATGATCCCAGTATGTTTGCTGACGTGGCGAACCCGGTTTAGGTGGCTTCCACTTTTTTAAAGCTTTGTTCCATATAAAATATGTTGAAACTTCCGAACAAAGTAAAGCTTTTACGTAGTGATCAAAAATATTTTGTTGTTTATCCAATTCAAAGAACTCAATTAATCTCGTTTTTGGTGCTGTTAAAGCCCTTTCTATTGTATTTTATTCGTTGAAATAAACACATTGACCATTTTCGAGATATGTACTCAAGTGCATTATACGCAGATGCATATAGTATAGCTGGATCTCGTTCGTGTATTTGAAGACCAAAAATTCCCCATGTAGCTTCGTTACTGCTTATGTATCCGCTCATCTGGTAGCGTGTTATATTATCATTTTCGTTTATATTTTGAACAGCAAATACTGCCATATTATTTAAATAGGCTATTTGTGCACCCCGACCTAAAAGATCTATTGTGCGCAAATACATATAAACATATATAAACATATTTGCGAATGTATTTTATTTATTCTCCAGAACTACAAACCTCTACATTGATGTGCGCTTTATATATTTTGGATAACAAAAGCGAATGTGGCTTTGCCTATCTATTGTCTATTTCAACTTCGTTTTAATTATTTCTCAACTTTAGTGAAAATGATTGGGTTACATTTTCCGAACTTCTTTGACGATGTATAGGATAGCCATCAATTCCAGTTATCGAATCTCTAACAAAATCTTTTAGAAATCCTTTTGCGCATTTACCATTATCCATGTTGTTTTAATAGCCTATAGTGCGCATAAAAACCATATAAATATGGTCTGAGAGTGTCAAGAAGATTTCTTAAGTGATTAAAAAGTTAGTGAGTACAAAGAGAGGTACCAACAATTTTATATATAAAGATTAGAGAGGTTTCAAACAATAGTGAATTGCAATAAGAAACATTTTTAACATATTTATTTTTATTTAATTGAATTTTTGATTGGCCTGACCATACAGTTGTTTCGAGTATTGCCAAATACCCTTCGTCAATGGTCTTTAAATTATTTCTAATTTAATTCAATGGTCTAATTTCTAATTTAGTTATATTTAAATAAGTTTTCGAAACTGTAAGTAACAAGAGTTCAACTCGTATCCTACCAAATTTGAAGTTCAGAGTCATTATTCATTAATATTTATTTGAAACTAATTTTTAGAGCGTTTTTGCCATATCACATTTCTTAAACGAAGCTTTCAACTTTAACTAAACTGAAAGAACATTTCCAGATGATATATTATATATATATTAACACTTAGATCTTATATCTGCTAAATGTCCTATATCTATCAAATTCCAGACAGTTAGTTCATGAGGTAAATTCAAAAATATTTATGTGAAATAAAATGTGTAATAACTTATTTTATTAGGGTTTTCGCAGATTTCGCCTGTTTAGATCATGCGTTACGTATTAAATTGTGAAAAATGTTTTTTAGTCTAAATTCAAGTAAACATCAATAATAAAGTCTTTCACCCTTGAAAGCGTACCAAATTATAGTAATGTTTCCAGTAATGTAATGTTATAGTAATGTCTCTTTACAGTGAGACAGTTCATATGGATTTTGGCAAAATATTGTTTTCATGGTCTGAAATAAAGTCCAGTCCTTATAGGTACAAGTCAAGAGCGTATATAATATTACCCATGTGTGATTTTTCGAAAGGTTATATATATGAAGTATTTCCTCTTCGTTATGAATAATATTCAATAAAAAAGAATTTTTATTTTTTTGAATGTATAGTTTATTTAGAACTTCGAACTTTTGATTTGTTTAATAATGTCTTAATTTTTCATTTTAAAAAATATACATTCACACTAACATACTTTTATACTCACCTATTACCAATATCATAAAATATTTTGACCCAAACTTTTAATTATGCTTTACGAAACAATGCTGTATTATATCCCTCAATTAAATCAAAGTGATCTGGATCACATTTAGTTTTCAAATACGTTCTATACAATTCTAAAGGATCTTTTTCTTTCATCAGGGTTTCTGGATTAATGGCTGGTTTATCAAATACGCTCATATCAGGAGTTCTTCCAATCTCAGCTTTACCACATACGTCACAATTTAAATCGAAACCAACTACTCTAAGACGTTTTTGTTCAAATTCCAGTTCTTTCAACATTTCTTCAATTCTTTGAAATAGTTCCTTCGCCTCAGTTTTTATTTTTAATAAGTCCTTATTATCAAATCTATTGTCCAAAGCATTTTGTAAGAAAATCATGCCTTCTAAATATCTATAATAATAATCGTGTAACAGATTATGCATTGGTCCAATAGTCTCTTCAAGAAAAAGCAAAAGATATATGTAGCAATAAATATTATTAGTCCAGTATTGATATATTTCGGTATCTATGCCAATATAGTCGACTAATTCTTCCATATATGTAATATAGTTTGATAAATCTACAACTATATCTTCCATAAAAGGTGCATAGAATAATTTGTTTGATAGAAGTATGCATCCATTTGCATTGTATCGATGATGTATATAACAAGGATGGTCATACTTAATAACCTTTGGTTGTATATATTTATAAACTTTGGGCAAAACTGCATCAATGTCGTTTCGCAACTCATTTATTTTATCTGTAAATGTTGGACTATCCATACCTTTTACAAAGAATGGTACTGGTGAACTGGTACTTGTTTTTAAATTGGTTTCCATTATGTGACCAAGAATTTCACTTACTTTAATTTTGTCATTTTGGCAGTCCAATTTCTGCATTATCGTATCGAGGAGACTATGCAGCAAAGATAATTGAAGTTTGTTCAAAGTTGGTGTGCCCAAAGCTAATTGCGGCACTTGCATAATTGGAATCTCAAAGGACTCATGCTTATTTGATGCTTTAAGTTTTGTAGCACACCTATTTTTAGGTAAAACTGTACTATCCATTGAAATAAATATTTTTTTTTAAAATTTTTTTATTAATATTTCTTATAATGCAATGAAGAGGTTGATCAATTTTTATGAATTGTATATGTTTTCTTGAAATTTTTATTTATGTATAACCTTTAGTAAAAATATTTAAGTAATGTTATGTTTACACCCAAACTTATAGAACCAGTTTAGTATATTTTAGTACGGATATTGTACGGATTTTATATGAAAATGATTTAATATTACTGCATATTTGTTAAGTTAAGTACATTAGTCTAAACACAGCATAACATGACTTAATAGCGTATGGTATATTCAGTAATACTTTTCGTGTTGTTCCCCTTGTCATATTGTTATTATGACAAGACTGGTTTTTACGTACTAGCACTATTGCTGTTATTAATAGGGCATGTGCAAACATACAAAATATTAAAAATCATGAAAGCCTGACGCTAATATAACCCTAGTTCCTTAACTACATCTAGTAAACCATATGGTTTCACAAAACAGTTAAGCATATTCCGACCAGCTCTGCTAATTTGACAGAGAAGCAATTTCTTAAGAAGTCAACGCTGGAGAAAGTCGGTCAGTGATACCACAAATATTTAATCGTTAGTTCCTGCCACCATACTAACAGCGTGTTCAGAAGTTTTTACTAGTGTCCAATCTTGTCGCGAGTATGACTATTAAATAATGCACTATAATTATAAAGGACAGTTTATTTACACTAATGCTTCTTGAATCCAGTGACAGGGTTAATTCTTTTATAGCATACTTTTAGTCAGTCATGATAGGTCTATTCTACCATCTATTCTATTCTAACTGCCAGTTTTTCTAAACTTTTGTGCTTGATTTTTTCTAATAACACGTTTACAGAAGAGGAACGCCATTAGTGTCCACATTTCAATTCCACCGTTTCTCACCATATCAGTGTGGCATATCAGTGTGACATGACTATATTATATCATATTACTACAGTACTTTCCTTGTTGTGTAAAAGATGGCATTAACTTCAGCTTGGAATATAAAACACTCTAGTAATATGAACCTAATAATTGCATTTCAAGAATATACTGCAGTCACTCGACTGCTAACTTGCTGCTAGTAGTAATTAAAATGATATCACTCATATTGATTAGTACGTCAGTAATTTTATACATAGGTATATAACTACTAAGAGGCATTGATATAATTGCTCCCGTTGCAATGGTTGTGCCCGACACATTCATGAAATGGAATAAGTATATAAACTTCATTGCTTTTTATTACTTCAAATATATTTAATAATATTTATGCAATACATATTTTAAAATTTTTAATAGAATTAGTATTGAAAAGGTTTTGAATACAAATAATTATATATATATTTTAATCATAACCTCTGCTAGAAAAATTATGAAACTTATTCCATACATCATACAAATGAATATCCATAAAAAAGAAAAATCCTCTACAATTAAAAGTTTTAAGTGATCCGAATGAAATTTGTCCTCATAGTGCATCTTGCCAATTTTGACTAAATCATGAAATGAATTTTTTAGCCAGTAACGTACAAATCCCATATCTCTAATACGCATTATGAGCGCCTCTAACGGATTACGAAAAATTGAGTTTGAATCCAAAGGAAAACCCAAAGACATAAAGGGCTGTAAGCAGATTGTTGTTAGACGAAATAATGGTTTAGTGAAGAGCTGTTGCTTTGCCTCATAAACATGCCATACAGACGAAGTAACCGGGTAAGCATAAGAAGTATTTAAAGAATCACGTAAAGCTCTGAGCTCCATGTAAGTATTGATTATAGTAAAAGTAGCATTGTATTTCTCAAGTACTTCTTCGAAAATATTATCAGCCTCTTCTCTGGCAACAAGTATTTGCAAAGGACTTAGTATAAAGTCATCCATAGTAGTAATAGGTTTTCGAACTGGTGGATGAGTTAAAAATACGCTTAGAGTTACATTCAACATATTATTCGTAATGAAACCAGTAAAAAATAATAAAATGTAAATAACTCGCATTGTTAATATAGGATTTTTAGGTAATATAAATGAGAAACCCATAATTCCAGAAAAAGCATGGGTATGCATAATCCTGTCTATGTAATGCATAGTAAAAGTTTGCGCCAAATACAAATTTATAAGTTTGTGGCTATAATAAAGTAACACCGAAAAGGTTGTATTGAGTAACAGTAAGTATAGAAGAACTTTCCAGTTCAACAGGTGTATGAAGTAATCGCTATAGGTTTGCAGCGATTCTACCGGCACCATTACACACCAATTAGCAAATTCAAGTGGATAAGAAAGCTGTTCATTATCACTGTATACCAGCGAATTCATTATACCACCGCCTATATCTATAGTGTCATTTGCAATAAGCTTTAAAAAATTTCGAAAATAGAAGACAGTTCCTGTTGTCACTTCAAATGGATACAGTATAGTAGCATTAAGTTTATCTCTAAACAATCTAATCATTTTAGCTACATAACCTGCGATCTTGCGGTTGCCCTTAGTGTCATAGTACATGACAGTACGTGGAGATATTTGATCCGGTATTGTACGTATGGGATATCCATTCAAATTTTGCATGCGTGATGGAAAAATATTGGTATCAATGTCATCATTAAGTTCTCTGTGTTCCAGTAGTAACACTGGAAACGGCATATAACTATAATATGAACCAGTAATCGTTGAGTTCTTCAAGACTGCGATTACATTCAGCATTTTATATTTGAAACATATCTTAAATAAATTTTGTAATATTTCTGTGGTTGTACCTTTAGTAGTTCCATATTTAGTAAAAATAAATATAACAGGCGTATCTCTTATACGATGCAGATTTTTAACTAAACTCCGGATTATTTCTACTAATTTCGGTTCTTGCAAGGCCACAATGATCAACATTTGCTTATTATATTTCATGTGAATATTAAAAGTATATGTAGGCTCATATGTAAGTATCGATTTTTGAAACTTATATTGCAACATCTTCCAAAGAAATTCTTGATCCTGGAAATCGTTTTTATAGCCGAAAAGACTGCAAGTGTAGTATTGCCAGTGTTGCTCAATTCTTTGTAAGAGTTTCTCATAAAACAAAACTTCGATTTTGTTGGTTTCATTTAAATTTATAAAACTTTGTTCTAATTCAGCTATTTTAATATTAAAACACATTAAATATATTAAATTAAGAAAAAATCTGCTCTGGTTAATAATCATTATGTTTACGCTACACTTAGAGAATATTAACTGACACTTTGGATTAAATATCAATTTCCTTTTATATAAACACCAACTTCTAAAAATAATAGCAATTTTAAACAATTTACTTAATGTAGTTTTAAAAAAAAGTTAATACCTCCATAAATTCTAGAAAAGTAATCTATACGTCAACTAGCACATAGTTAATGCTTCTATTGCGTGATAATATGTATCTATTATGACTTCACATCAACAGCCCTAATGTCATATTTTCACTAATTAGTAAAAAAAATATATTAAATACAATATATAAAAATATAAGTTATGAAAAGTGAAAAAATTAAAAAAAAATACATTGAAGAATCTTTGAAACGGGCACTTTTATAAACGGACATTATTCTTAAACGTATAGTTTGGGTAGTCCTCAGTTTTTATTTCTCATACAAAGTACGTTATTTTAATGGGACAGTTCTTTTAACCAAACGGAATTTCAGGTCCCAACGATGTCCGCTTAAATAAGCTTTTACTATATTACTTTATTTATTCTAATGTTTTAAATACCCAACTACTGGGAGCTTTCAATTACTTAATGTTTTTAATACAAAATATATTTTATGTACTCCATAAAATAATATTTTATAATAATCCATAAATAAATAATCCATAATTTAATAACATATTATTTTGTAGCATTATTCTGGTTTTATAAATAAAAGGGTCAGTTCATAAATACTTCGCCCAATATCTTTGACCCGATATCTGATAATAAGAAGAAAATAAATGCTTCCTGCAGATAAGTCAACCTTCGTTGAGAAAAGTAAACTACACCAAGAAAAAATTATATCCTTTTAGAAAATCTTTATCTTAGAAGAAAATATAATCTATGATACTATTTGAACACTCAGATTACAAAAAAAAATTAAACTCGATTTTTAACGTCCATTTTGAAGAATGAAACTAAATTCTTAATATAAACTATTGAACAGTAGTGAAATTGCTACAACAAAAATTTTTTGTCTTATTTTTAATTAATTGGGATTTTGACTGACCACACAGCTGTTTCGAGTATTGCCCAATACCCATCAACAGTGCTCTTAGAAACAAAAATAGAAAAAAAACTATCAAAACATGATATGTTTTATATTGTATAATGGAGCATAACACGGTTACGATATCACTGGGTCATGCCTTGCAAGCTAATCAACATTTAACAATTTATATTCAACCAGATTCCAAATGTTTACAATGGACTGAATTTGGTATTCATGTAACAAAATAACTCTTCCGGGTGTCTTATAAAATTTTAATGACCACAAAAAAATTAAGCAACAATAATGAAATCTAGAAAATATTACCCTTAGCAACCGGAATAAAAGAAGATATTTTTCCACTCTGATTCTTGCTTCCACTTTTAGTGCATTCTTTCAAATAAATGCAGATTAAAGTTAAGTGAGAATATAATGAAAATAAAGTTAGTATATACATAAAACTAAATTTATATAAATAATACATAAATACATGCATAAAGAAACAAAAAATTAAATAAAATACAATAAAGCAGAAACGATTAAATTCAATAAAATAAATACATATATAAGTAAATACATATATAATAAATACGTATATAAAATTTGTTTATATAAAAATGTATATAATGAAGTAGCCACACTGAAGTTCCTTATACGTTACGGTCTACATCAGGGCTGTCCAGAGCAGATACTGTCGTGTGCCAGTGCATATTGGAAGGCTGCAGAAACAACATATATACGACCATGTTTTTTTTGGAGAAAGTTAAAAATATAGTAATGTTTTGATAATGTTATTATAAAATATGATAATGTTAAATTTAGTTTAATTAATTATTCGTTGAGTTCAGTTTTTTGGGATATCATAAAAATAAAATGTAATTTTACCAATATATATCAAAGGAAAATTTGCGTAATTGTGGTAGATTAGAAACATATCGCGGGCCCCACACATATTAGTCGCGGGCCCACACATATAATAGCCGCGGGCCGTATATAGCCTATGGGCCGTGCTTTGGTCAGCGCAGGACTACATAAATGTTTTTGTTGCCATAACTGTCTATAACTTCTGGTGTGCATAACAAGAACGAGAGAGTAGCGATTGAATGCGATGGGTGTAACTAATACTACTGATTTAGCCTTATTCAAAATACCCACTTTGTCCCAATGCATTTGTATAAAAAGAATAATATATATATAATATATATTTTATTGAAAGCAAATCAGTAATATATATTTTATGTGCACTTCGCGCCACATAAAATGCTTAATCAAATTTTTTTTTGTAATTTCTATCAAATTTTATTTGAAATTAACAGATAATTTATATCTTAGCTTATATATAAAACACATAAAAATTAATGTTTATAAATCTCGTAATAAATTGCAACGAAATGCAATAAAAAAATAAAAAAATCAAACACAAGTAGCAACAATTTCTCTTAAGTGGACGGAAACTTTATTAAGGACTAATAAATTTTTGCTTTTGCATGCTTAACCTTTAAACAATTTATGCAGACACTTTCAGTAGAAGAAAATAAAACTAACAATTAACCAAAAAGCGAAATAAAGTAGAAAACAAAACAGCAATAAATAAAACTATAAAAAGAATTTGTGGTTACTTGTGTAAACAATAAAATGGCAGCGAATAGCATAAATCTCGAAGCACATTCCACGCATATTAAAGCGCACAGATACTTCCTTCATATCGGCGGCAGGACATAAAACTAAAGAATTCCAACTCAAATTTAGTAGTTCCGTTTGTTTGTTTGTTCGTTTGTTTGTTTGTTTGTTTCGCAGGACACTGAATTTAAGCAAACTGTAACGCTAATTTAAACCATAAAATAAGAAACGAAACTAAACTAAAGTCGAGCTAAGAGCCGGAGAGCCTGAGAGCCTAAGAGCCTAAATAAACTTACAAATCACCATTATCATTATCCTGTAGGCACAATGCAAGAGTTCATACGAGTCGTTGTGTTCATGAAGTACCAATATTCACCACAACTCCAACATCACAGCTGAAAGGACACTTCACATTATTTATACCAACGACAATAACACTATTACCATAAACAAAAACGAGTACAACAAACAACAAACAACAAACAATAAACAGAGAAACAAACTATCTAAAAGATACTAACTAAATGGGAAAGCACCTAAAGGGCAAACTAACAAACTAAAAAGGCATGAACTGAAGTGTGTCTAAAAATATGTGTAATTATTAAAATACCACATTACAGTGGGCGGGTTGTAGTGGGCAGTACGAAATCTATGGGATGGCAAGGACTAACAGACAAAACCAAAGCCACCGAAATAATAAATGCTTTAACGCTTCAACAATAAACACTGTAAGCATTTGTTTGTTAATACATTGCATTACATTTTGCACAGTGGGTAGTGTTAATAATAAATATAAAAAAAATATAATATAAATTTACACTTAAAATTATATTATTAGATAGATATTATTAAAAACATTCTTATGAACCTTTTGTTAATAGTACCAGGACCTAGAGGAATTATCTGCGGGAGGGCCAAAACAATTTTTATCTTATTAAACAGTCATAATTAATATAAAATATCTTTAAATGTAAACGTCATTCCCCTGTCTCTTGCAGACCTCTCCTTCACTTCACTGCATGTTCGAATATATCACTATATACAAAAACATCTCTCTATCTTTTTCTGTCTCTCTCTCTCTTTTTCTCTCTCTCTCTTTTTCTCTCACTCCCTCTCTCTCTTTCTTTCTCTCTCTTTCTCTCTTCATTTCTCTCTCTTTCTTTCTCTCTCTTTCTTTCTTTCTCTCATCCTTATCTCCCATTGTAGCATAGGGCCTCTACAATCTTTTTATATCGGATTCTGTTATTTAATATTATTCCAGCAATAATTGACTTCTTTTAGCTCTTCTTTAATTGTGCTCCTCCAAGTTTTAGCGGGCGCTCCAGATCGACGACTGCTTTGAGGATTCCACTTCAGAGTTTGGCGTGTTATGTTTTCATTGGGTCTGCGGAGTTTGTGGCCTATCCAGCACCATTTGTGTCTTCTTATCTCAACAGTAGCAGGCGATTAATTTGTAGCGGCCCATAGGACTACAGAAGACTGCGGTCTGTAGTCTTCAGACCTTTTTATTTTTTATTTGAATTCTTTTAATATAAGTATTATAATTTATTTAACCTCAGAAGGGTTGGAAGGTTACAAAAAGGACTTCATCACTCAGTGCAGCAAAGAGTAACAAGATTTAACAAAGTGTGTTCCGTTGAAAGGACCGTAGATAGATAATCTTTTGCTGTAAAGCGCCCCATTATTATTATTATTATTATCCGAACCCAAAGCCTTACAATTATATAGAGTATAACTAAAAATATTATTTCCTTTTCAGGCAGAGGTGTCATTCGGTTACCTCAATCAGTCCCGTTCCATTGTATTGAAGACTGCTGAACTTATTCAACTATATACAATATATACTTATTTATATTGTACAATTTTAATTGTTTCACAAAATTCTATCAAATGATGCAATTTTTCTACCCACTGTATCGTAAATAAATATTTAACAAAAAGTTAGTGTATGTATTTTCGTACTACAGTTAGTGTGGTAAAATAATTTTCAATCTCATTAGTTAAATTGAATAGTGAAACTGTTCTCCCTTCTTCTCTTTCTATAACTTTTTCACTTTTTGGAGTTTTTGGGGCGCAATTCACACATCTATAAGTCCACCCATAGACTTACGTATATAAATTATTTTACGGGTATATTGTTTATATTGTTCTACTTATGGGCTTACCCACTAATTGCTAATATTTTACAACACAAAAAAATAATTAAAAAATAAAATTGTAAAAAGGATGTAATCACATTGAAAATATACAAAATAAACTATTTAAATGATAAATGTGCATTTGAAAATTGTTACACAAAAAAA